ATAAAGCTAGATTAATAGCCAAAGGATATAAACAAAATGAAGGACTAGATTTCTTCGATACTTGTTTACATGTTACAAGGATCACGTCTATACGTATGTTGATTGCTATCGCTGCATTCCATAACCTTGAAATGCATCAAATGGAGATACTTACTCACCAGTAACGAGGATTACTTCGATAAGAATCCTTATTGCAATTGCTGCGTTACATAACCTCGAAATTCATCAAATGGATGTTAAAACAGCTTTTCTGAATGGTGAGTTAGAAGAAGAAGTTTATATGGAACAAATTGAAGGGTTTGTTATTCCGGGAAATGAAAAGAAGGTATGTAAGCTTGTAAAATCGTTATATAGATTACAACAAGTATCGAAACAATAACATGAAAAATTTGACAAAACTATGTTGTCAAATGTTTTCAAAATCAATGAATATGACAAATGTGTCTACATCAAAACCATACCTAACGGATACGTGATTGTATGTCTATATATTGATAATATGCTAATCATAGGGAATAATTCGAACATTACTAGCTCGACCAAGAAAATGTTGATAAAACATTTTGACATGAAAGATATGGGCATAGATCACGTGATATTAAGGATTAAGATCTCTAAAACATTCGATGATTTGTCATTTTCTCAATCACATTATATTGAGACTATACTTAAAAAAGTTTAAGGCTTATGACGATAAAGCAGTTAAAACACCAGTTGTCTCAAATTTACACTTAACCAAAAATACTGGTGATCTCGTATCTCAATTAGAATATTTATGTGTTATAAGTAGTTTGATGTATATTACTAACTGCAAGCGTCCTAATATAGCATATGCAGTCAACAAATTGATTAGATTTACGAGTAATCCAAGTTGTGACAATTGGAAAGCATTAGATCGAGTTCTTAAATACTTAAGACACACGGTCAGTTATGGATTACACTACTCATGATATCATACAATGTTAGAAGGATATACTGATACAAATTGGATATCTGAAACAAAAGGATTCAAAGTCTACAAGTGGTTATGTGTTTACCATTGAAGGCGGAGCTGTGTCCTGAAAATCGTCTAAGCAAACTTGTTTAGCTTGATCCATGATGGAATGTGAGTTTATTGTTTTAGATAAAACCGGAGAAGAAGCGGAATGTTTTCGTAATTTTCTCGACGATATTCCATGTTGGGAAAAATCGGTACATGCGATTAATATACATTGTGATAATCAATCGGCTATTGCAAGGCACAAAATAGTATGTACAATGGTAAATCTCAACATATTCGTTAGAGATGTAATACCATTAAATAATTGATATCAAATGGTATAATCTCGATTAACTATATTAAATCAAAAGAAAACATAGCGGATCCTTTGATGAAAGGATTAACAAGAAATCAAGTATACCATCTTTCTAGGGGAATGGACCTAAAACTTATCGAATAGAATCAAAATATAGCAAAAACCCAAACTTGTAGATTGGAGATCCCAAGATCTTGGTTCAATGAGACAACTAAGTTATGAAACATTCAGTGTAAAACACTTACTTCCATTCCTACAAAAAGTGCTGGAATAAAAAATGTTGGGATTGTTGGAATTGGTTTAAAGAAATCAAAAATTTGGTTAAGTATAATTTTGAACTAGTGACTTGGTGTCAATTTTGAGCAAATATTTGGATTTGATCTGATGATCAAATTACAAATGTAAATAGATCAACTTGTTTTACTCGTCGAAAATATCGTCTTGGTATATTTGAAATCTCGAAATCAGTTCCAAATAAATGAGAAATTATGGTCAAAAGTTGGAAGGAAAAATTGGCTGAAAAATGACTATCTCCGTCGCTCAAAGCTCAAGCGAGGAAGTTGTCGCTCAAGTAACAACCTAGCGACAATAGTTCTGTTTTTATCGCTAGAGCGAGAAATCAGCGACAGGCTAGCGACAACAAGAGTTGCTTCTGGTCGTAAGGTTGCGAGGTTTGGCTCGTAACACTTTGTCCACAACCCCTCATACTCTATAAATAAGACATTTGAGACGTCATCTTCTTCACACCAATGATAAATCATATCATAACATTCTCTTCTCTTGCATATATATTGTATAAAATTCTAATTTTCTTCATTTTTGCATTAAGGAGTACATAAACCAAATTCTAGTTCGTTATTCTTGTGTGTTGGAGTGCTACTCACACAAGAAAAAGTCGTTGTATTTTGGAAGTTGATTGCTATAAATTGTAGGCACCATTGTAGGCCAATTCGATTTAATGACAAAGTGTTCAACACTTGCCTCGACCTTGCATTCATTTAGCATTATTCATTTGAAGTTTCATTACCGTTACTCTGCCGAAATTCCAACAGAAGTTTAAATAAAGATTCTACGGTGTTTGTTTGTCACTCCACACACCATATCCATCCAACATCTTCATTAATATTTCGGGTAAATTTAACGTTAAATTCGTTGACAACACACATGCGATGTCTTACTGAAATGGTAAAATTGTTCCAAAAATTTTCTTTTTTCCAAAAACCAAACGGTGAATATTCAGAAATTTTGCTATTTCTTAAACAATATTATCCTTTCAGTTTGACATTAAATTCATATTGTGTAGTTATTTTACAACTAAATAGAAGTTTTCCATCATGTAGGATACTGCACAAATGAAAAGTTGAGGACATGACTGCCACACTTATCAAAGGTTAGAACCCTGAAGGAATTTTTCTTAATATTTAAACACAAATTTATGTGGTCAGGGATACAAGAAGTTCAAAGAATGACCAATTGCTTGTGGATTTGGCCATCGAAAAATCAAGGCATGTTAGATTTTTAGGATTTATTTCAAATTGAAGAGTATAAATTGTTGACTGAGAAAATGGTATTTGATGGAATATTCTTTCTTAGCAAGCATCTATGATTGCGTGTCGTCTAAGAAAATCAATTTTGAAAGTCAATTAAAATTTATATGCTAATTAATATATTTATATTTAATGAAGCGGAAATATAGCACTAAGCAATATAATGTATACAAGATTTTAAATTTCTTTTCTTTTCTTAATATTGTTCAGTTTTGCACAATTCACCTAATCAAACAAACTATTAAGACCTGTATGATGCATGGATAACGAACATACAACAAAATTTGTTGTTCTGTATCAAACACGTCATTTATTTATTTTTTTTCTAATTTTTTTCCAAGAGATGAAAAAGTTTGGCATATTTATGAGAGTAAGGGGAGGGACCATACAAACATCTTTGGCACCTCGACAACAACATAAGGTGTATAACTTGACAACACTTTTATCTTCACGAAGTCACTCGTGTCTTGATTTTCCACTAATTTTTTTATTTTTTGATCTACTCATCTAGCTTGAGCCATTGATATATATAGCCATTGAGATAGATATACTAGGTGCAAACAACGTGCAATGTACGTTTGCGTAGTTTATATTTAATAGTTTTGTTTAAGAATTAATTTGTTATTAATAAAGATATAATTTTTTTGGTTAATTAAATAATTAATGATGTAATGTTTATGTAATTGACAAATAATTAGATGTGCGATTTTGATGTTGTGATGTAAGTTGGTGAGATCGAAGAAAATAAACAAAAGTTAACAAATTTGGAGAAATTGCTAAATTGTAAGGGATCCAAAGTTCGGGGACTAAAATGTAAATACTTAAAAGTTGTGCCTAACCTCACGATGAAAATTTGAGAGTACTCGGAGTCAATTGGATAGAGGAAGACGTCAATTATATCAAATTTAGGCAAAAGATGATCACAAATCAATTTCCAACCGAAAAGTTATGCTCCGATGTTTTAGTCTCATATTGAGACCTATTTTTGGCATAGAATGTGATCGAATTGGAGAATGATGTCTGAATCAAAGTTGTAGCCAGATGAGTTAGCTTTCCAACTCATTTTGAATCTTTTCAATCGGACATCGAAATACAAAGTTATGATAAAAATACTGAACGAATGTGCAGCTGCCGATTTAAAACAAGAAATTCCGTTACATAGTCCGTTAAAACAACAAATTCCGTTAGTTTTTCCGTTAAAAACAAGAAATTTCGTTACATAGACACTTTTAATATATAGAAGATATAAAATCAATTCAAATCAAAATCACAAATCTACGTAGAATGAAACATTAGTCGTTCTCCTAGATCATGTGCCCTTTTCAATTTACACAATATGAAAAGGGAACAAAATATGACAAAGACTAATATAATCAATAAAGGTTGAAAACCCGCCCTCAGGGCACATCTCTAAGCGGTAAAAGGGGAAGGTGGAAAAACTCCAACTTTACTTAAGGCTGCCACGTTAACGATTCGAATCTTGAAATATGGATTTGGCCCTTAGATAAGTGCACGTGTACAAGTAGCCTTCCACCTTGTATCCTTGAAGGCATATCCTGCGATTTACCTCATTCATCAAGGCCCAGGCCAGAGCAGGTGGAGACCACTAAGGATGCGGTTCATCCTTTAATAAAGGTCGAAAACCCGCAACAACATTTAATCAAAAATTAATATAATCAATAAAGGCCAAAAACCCACAACAAAAAAAATTGATTCGGTCGGCCTAATTCTATTCTAACTAAAATTTAGATAGTTCTGAATCATTTAAACAAAAAAAATTGACAAATTGATCAAGTGCTCGAGTGTATAATTTGTTTGGAGAATCTTGCGCTAAATTTAATTAAACTATATATAGCCAAATTTATTTTTATTTTACCTTTTATAAACTCCCAATTAGATAAAGTTAATTTGTAAGAAAAATAAAAAGTGAAAATTAAACAGAAAAAAGAAACAGAAATTATTAGTGAAAATTATTTACATAGACAAAATTACCCTCGGGCATCGTCTAGTCACAAGCGGTGAAGTGCCTTGGTCGGATCACCACAATACACCCCCCCCCCCCACCCCATCAAAATTTCCGCCGGCAGCCGGAAATTCACGATTCCGATGCAAGCATGCAACTATACAGCAATAATTAAAGTTAATTCATTGTGACATATCATAGGGTGCAGCCACAGAAGACGAAGAAGAAGCAGAGGAAGGAGACAAGCACAACGGACTCTACGGCGGAGACGACAGACCAGACGACGGTGTCGACGATGTAGATGCTGGAGAAATCTAGATTCGGAAATCGCAAAAGCGACGCCAAACGCCGCGGCTCGAGGCTGGTGGTGAAGCTACTGAGGTTGAAGCCATTGCTCCACGTAGGCGTCAAATACGAGGCGAACAGCCTCAGCAACCGGAAAAACGACGTCGGGAGGGAGATACTGACGTCGATCCACCGGAAAACTGACGCCGCCGTCGACCACCGAGACATGGTTAAATTGGCTATAAAAGCTCGATATGTCCTTGTTTATATACCGAATCCTTTGTATTCTTTAATTAGGGGTTGATTCGATTCGAATTCCATTTGATTTTGACCAATTTCTTTAATTAATTTTTTTATAATAAAATTAAAATTTTGAGAAAATCTCACTTTTGTCCCCTACATATATTGCATTTTCGTCCTCAACTTATGTTTCTTGACAATATTGTCTACTGTCTTTTACTTTGAGTATGCGTTAGTCCCTGATGACACTTTTTAATCAAAAAGCTTGTCATTAACGAATGTGGATTGAGGTAAAACGTTAGACAAATATTTCTCAGTATCCGTCACACTTATATCGGTACAAGTTTGAATGAAAAAAGTGTCTTACTCATTGGCAAGAATTGTAGTTGATGTGATCAAAATAGCTGAAGACGTTAATTAGAGTCATGAAAGACGATTTTTTTACCTATGCAATACTTTGAAATATTTGGAGCTCTATACTTACGCCAGTATTGGAGTTAAGAGTATTGAGTTTAAGGCGGCAAAAAGAAAAACGTTCATAGAATTAATAACAAATATGTAAATAGTACTAAAAGTCGGAGACTAAAAAATTCAATGTTAAAGGTCGACAATGTATTTGTTATAGATATTAAAAGTTAAGATTAATTATGCAAATTTTCACAAAAAAAAAGGGAGGAAAATTAATTATGAGAATCGACGGTACATTCTTTGCAACCGCAAAGTAAAATTTTTATTATATATATATTGAAAAATTCAAGATTTTTTTTTTTTTCTCTTTTAATTGTTGCTAGAGCGATCGTCATTCGTCCATCCTCACCCCGTGTCTCCGCCTCTCTCTTCAACTCAAATAATTTTCACCGTCCACTTGTTTCTAATTTTATAATATCTTTCTATAAAGCTAAAGGCCAAGATGGAGACACAAATAGAGTAGATACTCCATGTGCCAACCTTTTTAGCATAAGCCCAATTCTAAAAGCATATCCTTTTCAAGTCACTTGATTGAATGTCCATACTCCCTCTGGACATGCCATAATTACTTGGACATGCTTGTTTTGTAGAATAATAGAAAATTAAAAATCCTCCAAGAACAAATAAATAAGCACAAAGTTGAAATTCAAAAACATGTTTTGTTTTTAGAGCTTAAAATAAGTACGCAAGTGTTATTCATTACCACCACACAATATATCGTAGAAATTCTACCATAGAATATTGTTAAACAAATCTAATCTCCTGTCCATAGTGAACAATATGAAAACTTCCCACTGCAAACGTGACAGAAACAATTGAGTGGGGATCAACTAGACCATAAAGTTATAATAAGTTGACGATAAAATTATATCACCAAGTTGACTAATGTCTTTGAGTTTGAAGAGAGGATATAGTGTCACTATGAAAATTGAATAATTCTTGGTGTACATAATTTTTTGGATCTCGCCCCATGTGAGGGTGTGAACACTCCTATGTACAAAAATTATGTACATGTCCCATGAAAATTATACTATTGTTACAGTAAAAATAAGTTGCAAATTCACAACTAAAATAACAAGATATTTATTCCATTCAAGGATTCAACTTACTTTAAAATCTTGTGAGATGCACGTGATAATTTAACAAAATTTTTAGACAACCCACAATTTTTTAGTATCAAAAATTCAAAATGATATAAATACTGAAGTTTGAAGGCCGTTATTGCCCATTTTCAAAACTGAAATGGAAATTTTCAGTAGTCAATAAAATTCAAGTTGAACCTCAAGAAATGTAGACAAAGCTACTTGATGTTCCATTTGTTTGAAAATCCCAAGTGAAATTACATAATTTCATATGTTAAGGATGTAACATAAAAAACCTCAAATTTCAAATTGTCTTGTTAGACAGTGCTAAGTTTGGCGGTGATCCCTACCTGAATATAATAAAGGCCCTGTTTGAGCCACCTTAATTTAAGTGTTTTGATTAATACCCTTAAATAGGGATGGCAACGGGGCGAGGCACCCCTATCCCGCCCCGTCCCGCCACTCCCCCGCTTCGCCCCGCCCCGTCTGGGCGCGTTGCAGGACCGTTTCCCTGCCCCGTTTATTTTTTTTATAATTTTTTTTTTTGCTATAAAAAATTTCCAGTTATACGGTTAAGGAAAA